GCCACGGTATGATGACTCACTATTTCTGGTCCCCTTTACAACACCACCTTGGCTGGAGAAGGAAATGCAGAATTACACAGAACTGTGTGTGCCTGACCAGCTGACACACTCTTTGAAAGAAGAGATCGTTTCTAAGTTGTTTCCTATTTGCGTTCTAACAGTGGGCCGAGTGCATAGATTATGGGGAACGCAAGCTTCCAGATGGTCTTGTTTGCAGAGTTTCCTCAGGAAGGAATCAATGATCCAACCAGAAGTTCATGGATTATGTCTTTACAGTTTGTCACTGGAACACTAAAGTGTTTAGCTTGTGTATATACATGTACATTTTTTCCCTCCCTGGTTATAAAATGATGTCTACTCACATGGAAAACTGATGCAATACAAAAATAAAATCAAATAGTTTAACTCTCATGCCACTTCTCAAGTAATCACTGTTAAGATTCTTCCACTGTCCAGCATTTCCTCTACCGTCCACCCTTCCCTTCCCATTCACTCTCCATTTATCGAAAGTTCCTCAAAGCTTGTTACAGAACTTACAACCTAGCAGGAAGGCACAGAAAATACAGGAAACAGGAAGAACTATGCTCTTTGTAACCCACTTTGCTTCTCCACTCAATAAGGTTTAACAAAGACCTCTTAGGTCAATTGCTCATCTGTGTGATCTTTTACATGGCTGCCTACTAGTCTGTTTTGTGCATATTTCACATTCCGTTGCCCCAACCAGGGGCTGATGGATCTAACAGTTGCCACCGAAGCAATTTTGACTCCACACGTGTCCAGAATAGCTCTGTGCTCCTCAAGTTTCTGATGGCTCTTGTCCCAGAAGTAGATTTCCAAGTGTTTGGAGACAACCTATAGAACTAGAGTCAGGTTGAGCTCCAACCTCCAGCCTTTTAGCATCTGTCAACCATGTTAACCTTTTGTGCTGCCAGATATTTTCAATGCTTTCTTGGCCTGTTGAATATCAAGAGGCGGACACTGTGCCCCACACTATTGTGTTTCGCATGGTGATGCTGTGGGGGTTAGGCACAGTACTGCCAATGGCCAATCCTCCAGCGGCTCCCTGGAGAAAGTTGAGGCTATTGGCTTCTGTAAAGAGTGAGTGCCCCACAAATCTGATGGAAGAGTCACTATGACTTGGAATTGACTGGATAACTGTAGGTTTTGGAGTTTTTCGGGCAGTAATGCTTGGCTCATAGTCTTTCTTCGGCTCAATAAACTGTTATTGTGACCGCCTTTCGTGAATATCAGGCTGGAACAATCCTTTCCAGCTCCTCTGTGCACACTGACTTTATGGAAGTGATCTTTGTCAGCCTGCAGATTTCTGAGCCATGTGCATGCTGTGCTTTCTCCTTACCCCACCTTTCTTGAAAGCCCCAGCCCACCACCCCAATCCAGCTTTGTGGGTTCTTGTTAATCCTTCAGGTAGCAGTGTTAACATCACACTCACACAGAGATGGCTGCCCTTCTTGATGCTCCCAGAGGCCTCCAAGCTCTCGACTGAGAGCTGTACTCATCTACGTCTCCCACCAACTGGAAGTGCCTGCACAGCCAGCGGACCTTCGCCTTGCTTACCACCATTATCGCGCAAAAGAACCTTACAAAGGTCAGTTGTTGCTCATCGCCACAAACGGTTTACATTTTACCGCGCATTTTGCAAAAACCCTTACCTCGTTTCATAAGGCTTTGGCCGATGATGAGTTCTACACACAGAAATCTAAATAGGTGTGCGATTACAAGTACAATGATTTATTTACTTTTGCTGTTTAAATTTGAGGTATTTTTTTCTTTTACTTCAGAGGAAATCCATGTTAAAATGCCACCACCTGCCAGTTTGTCTCACGGTGGTGGCTTGCATGTCGCCACATGCTGGAAGGCACGCCACCAGTATTTCAAACACCAGGAGCATCGCACACATGGTGGGGTAGGCTGCTGCTGAGTTTCCAGAGTAAGACAGATTAAGAAGAAAGGCCTGGCAATCTATACCTAACATTTTCAGTCAGTGAACATTTTTTGTGTCACACAAAATATTGTCCAATACAGTCCTGGAAAATGAGCTCCTAGTTAGAAGGTGCTACACAGCAGTTGCAACAATGGAATCAAACACGCAATGATCATAAAGATAGACCAGGATCAAGTAATGTTTCATTCTTCAATGCTTTCTACATATCTTTATATATACATATAACATGTATGTTATATAGGAGCCCTAGTGGTATAGTGGTTACACATTGAGCTGCTTAAGGTCAGGAGTTCAAAACCACCAGCTAGCTCTTTGGGGGAAAGATGAGGCTTTCAACTCCCACAAAGAATTACGTCTTAGAAGCTCATGGGGCTGGGCAGTCCTATCCTGTCCTAGAGGGTTGCTATGAGTTGGCATCAATCAGATGGCAATGAGTTTGTTTTATGATTTTGAATGTTGCCTATAAGGTCTCTCTGACTTAGAGCTGGCCATGGCAACTAACCACAACAAACATTATGAGTACTTTAGGAGGGGAAATTATTTCTTATTTTACCATACCTTTCCCAGGTTCCTATTATGCACACGAAACAACTGTTAATTTTCTAAGCGGCTCATTTTTTGCCCAATAGAAATACTGTGTGTCCAAGTCCAGGAGCAATGCCATGAAGAGGCACTTAAAACAAAGCACTCCTGCCAATCGAAGAGGATGGTGCCCTGGGCAGAGGTAGCTACCTTTACATTTTTGATCAAATGCCAACAGCAGAAGCTGGTTCCTGCTCAATCATTTTAGAAGCAGCAAACAAGCTGACCGAATGTTTTGATCAAAATCAACATCCTCTCCTCCTGCCCTGCCTCCACCTGCCTTACAAAGGAGCAGCATAGAATCCCGGATTTGGACAGCTTTTCCTTAGAAATGCTGTGAGAGGACTGAACTGAACTAGCGATAGAGGCTCCATTGTAATTGCCCTGAAATGGGAGAAGCCTCTGGGGACTGCAACTTAAACACATTTGGGGGAAGTGGAAGTTACAGGCTCCCCCTGCACGGTTCAGTCTGAAAACAAGAGAGCGAAAGAGAAGGGCACCTTGCCTTCCCTTCTCTACCAAGCAGACTACCTATGCAGGCAACCGAACACAATTTAGCTGTAAAACATCGTTCCTCTCTCCCAGGTGCAAAAAGAGGGAGCCTCTATCCACATCAAGGACCCTGAAGTAAAACGCCTGTCATCTATAAGACACCATCAGGCCAATATCACCGTTTTGTCTTGTTTTGAAACAAACCACACTCTGGCCATCTGTTGGAACGCTGCAGTGGCATTTCTGTTTAACAGAACAGGGGCTGTCGCTTGCTATGGCTCGGTTCTGTTCTCTCTCCTAACACTCACAACATCCCGGTTCCCATTACTGAAGCTTGTTAGGGGCGGCTGGACTCAGGCCAGACATGATTGGGTGTGGAAGGATGGAGCTTTGGCCTCTCCCACTCTGCAGCTTTCTATTCCTTAGACCACGCTACCTTCCCCATTGTTGCAGCAGCACCGGAGCCTATGGCAAAGCAAAGGAGGTTTCTTCGAAAAATCACCACCAGTCTTCTGATGATACTAAAAAGGGCCACTTTGGCTTGACACAGTCACTTTATTTTCCAAATTGGAGATCTTCAACATACATTTCGATTCTGGGTCTCCAAACTGAAATTTTGCAGTGAGAGGCTTTCCTTCTCTGAGGGAATGTTTCTTCTTCATTCAGCAGGGCCAGATTTCTTTCTCAGAAATTGCAATCAATTTCAAGGCCAAGTCATGGACTTCACCTTGCCCGTGCCGCTCTTTCAGCTCACCACCACTCAGTCTGTTCAGACTCCTGGCGACACTATAGACTGAAGCACATAGGGCCCTTGTGACTAAACAGAGCCCTACGGTTGTTCAACCTCTGATTTCTCTAGAGCCGTAAGACAACAAGCCCCATATACAGAGGGCGCGAGTCAAGCTGAAACAGTAGAGTTTTGACTATAATTACGACTATATGGTTCTATTCAGTATTTTTTTGGATCATCAAGAAATATTAACTAGCAGGTATAATAACAGAGATTATTTAATAACAATACATCCACCACTTGGGGATAATTAGTCTTCTCTTTATGGAGACATTTTTATATTTGGGAAATTTTTTACACTAGAGAAACTTTTTGTCTTTTTTATGTGCACAGCAGACCTGTAATCTGACTTTACATAATTTTATATCATACCTCTTTGCAGCAAAATGTGTGTGGGCTACATCTGACCTCCTCTGGCTCCCCTCTTGTCATAAGGTAGGGGTCATACATCCCTCCCTCCATCTTTGTTACCAGTCTGACACCAGCTACCCTATGTTTATGTTGGGTTCTCTGATTCATTGCAATGGCCATATGGAACTCTCAGACAAAACTTACAATTAAAGGGGGCTCATTAAGGAAATCAGCAGGTTACAAGCCAGCGTCACTCAACAGGAAGGACACAATCTTGGGTCCATGGCAACCCCTCTCAGCCAAGTCTCTCTGGTCCTTTGTCTC